GATTTATTGGCAGTGTTTTAAGGAAGTTTTACTCTCCTCTAAGTCAATGGCTGTATCTTGTCTTCATGTCTTCCTAGTAGCATTGGCAGGTCCTTCCTGTTCTTGGGACCCATTGACCATTATTCATCCTCCCTCTTTCTGTCTAAGTCAAGAAAACCTCCTTCGCATTTGCTATAAAGAAATTTCACTTCACCTCCCAGTTCTGGCCAAGACATTATTTATCTATACCATCAAATTCTGTCCTCTCTCTAGGGCTCAGCCTTTTGGAAATAAAAGCTGGGGGAACGTGTGGAATTTTTCCACATCTTTATCTTATGACAATGAACATGAAACTGACTACCTACCTGAACAGGGAGGACAGAACAGTGGAAAAATATGAAACAAAATCTTCAACAATTAATGTCCACAAACGAGTCTATCTGTAACTCTTTCAAGGTAATCACAAATTGAGAGAGTTTAAGAACCATGTTTAATTTCCCAATCTGTAAATTGATTGATATGCACCATGTATTTCATGGTATCCAATGCTTTGGGTTGTTTTTTTTTTTTTTTGAGATGGAGTTTTGCTCTTGTCACCCAGGCTGGAGTGCAGTGGCATGATCTCGGCTCACTGCAACCTCTGCCTACTGGGCTTGAAGCGATTCTCCTGCCTCAGCCTCCCGAGTAGCTGGGATTACAGGTGTGTGCCACCATGCCTGGTTATTTTGTATTTTTAGTAGAGACTCAGGAGGCTAAGGTGGGAGAATCGCTTGAGCTCAAGAGTTTGAGGCTGCAGTAAGCCACGACCACACCACTGCACTCCCACCTGGGCAACAGAGCAAGACTCTGTCTCAAAAAAATTAAAATAAAGCTTATGATTTTTTTTTAAAAGAAAAGAAGTCACGTGCAGTGGCTTACCTTGTAATCCCAGCACTTTGGGAGGCTGAGGTGGGTGGATCACGAGGTTAAGAGATGGAGACCGTTGTGGCCAACTTGGTAAAACTCCGTCTCCACTAAAAATACAAAAAAAAATACCCAGGAATGGTGCCACGTGCCTGTAGTTTCAGCTACTTGGGAGGCTGAAGCAGGAGAGTCGCTTGAACCTGAAGGGTGGAGGTTGCAGTGAGCCAAGATTGCACCACTATACTCCAGCCTGGGGGACAGAGCAAGACTCCATCTCAAAAAAAAAAGAAAGGAAACATACCAAATGTAGGTACGTCCTTCCTTGAACAATCTCAGGTTTCTAATCTAATAACAAAAAATTTCTATCATTAGTTTTGGAAAAGTACCCCCACTTTTGATGATCTGCCTGCCTCTGCCTCCCAAAGTGCCCACAGGATCCCTTCAGGTTCTGAGCGAATTCAAAAGCTGATCAGGCTGGGCAAGGTGGCTCACGCCTAGAATCCCAGCACTTTGGGAGGCCGAGGTTGGGGGATCACTTGAGGTCAGGCATTCAAGACCAGCCTGGCCAACACAGTGAAATCCCATTTCTACTAAAAATATGAAAACTAGCCAGGCATGATGTCAGGCTCCCGTCATCCCAGCTACTAAGGAGGTCGAGACAGGGGAATCACTTGAACCCAGGTGGCAGAGGTTGCAGTGAGCCGAGATCACACCACTGCACTGCAGCCTGGGCAACAGAGCAAGACGCTGTCTCAAAAAGCAAACACACAAAGCGGATCCAATTTGAGAAGTTTGCAGCTGTCTGACACCCACACATTTTCTAGGAAAGGCCTACAGGTACAGCACAGAGTCCTAGGCCCACACAAAAAGCAAGAAGCCCTCCTGACTCCCTCTGGCCCAGGACAGGTCGGCCTGCCCCCACACATTCTCTGCCAGGCAGCCTGACACAGCAGTTAAGGCCCAGGCTTTGGAGTCAGACTGCCTGGGGTCAGATCCAGGCCTTGTGTTTACTGGCTGGCCTTACTCACTGCTGGAACCTTGAGTTTCTCATCTATAAAACAGAACTAATAATAGTGTCTTCATGAGCTATTAGGAGACTTAAAGGCCGATGCACATGGAGCACTTTCATAAACACTCCCCACATCCTGGCTTTCCACCTCCCTCCTGCAGGCTCCAGGCTCACTTGCCATGGTTGCACACAGGCACGTGGGCACCATCTCTTGGCTCCTCCGTGGGGACCCCTGTGGGCAGGCAGACGCCAAGCTAGAGAACGGGGGGAGGGACTGGGCACTGAGAATCACACCTGTAATCCCAGCACTTTGGGAGGCTGAGGTGGGTGGATCACCTGAGGGCAGGAGTTTGAGACCAGCCTGACCAACATGGTGAAACCCCATCTCTACCAAAAATGCAAAAATTAGCCAGGTGTCGTGGCACCGGCCTGTAATCCCAGCTACTCAGGAGGCTGAGGCAGGAGAATTGCTTGAACTTGGGAGGCGGAGGTTGCAGTGAGCTGAGATCACAACATTGCACTCCAGCCTGGGCAACAAAAGGAGACTCTGTCTCAAAAAAAAAAAAAGAAAAAAAAGACAAGTGCTGGTGAGGATGTGGAGAAATGGGAACTCAAACACTGCTGCTGAGAATGTAAAATGGTACAGCTGCCATGGAAGAGTCTGGCAGTTCCTCCAGATGTTAAATACAGAGCTACCCTACGACCCAGCAATTCCATAGCAAGGTATACACACAAGAGAAATGAAAACATACGTTCACTCAAAATACCATGATTCGTAATACCTGAAAAAGTAGAAACAATCTAAATGTCCATTAATTGATAAATGAATAAACAAAATGTAATACTCTGTCCAGTGGAATATTATTCAGCTGTAAAAAAAAAAAGAATGAAGTATTGATACATGAACCTTAAAAACACTAAGTGAAAAAAGCCAGATATAAAAGGTCTTATATTGTATGAATCCATTTCTATGAAACGTTTAGAACACACAAATTTACAGTGATGGTAGATCAGCAGTTGCCTGTGGCTAGGGAGGGGCGGGAGGCAAACAGATAATAGGAAATTCTAATGGGCTCAAGGTTTCCTTTTGAGATGATGAAAATGCTCTTAAATTGACTGTGGTAGTTGCAACACCTCTGTGAATACATCATTGAATTGTATGCTTTAAACGAGTGAATGATACGGTATGTAAATTTTATCTCAATAAAGCTGTTAACTCCCCTCCAAAAACCACGCAGTAAAACAGAGAAAACGAAAATTAGTCATGAGCACACTAGGGAGAATTGCCTTTAGCATCTTAGTGTGCTTTCTTTGTGTGTGACACTGAATTAGAATCCTGAATTTTTATTTTCTGATTTTCATTTTCTTGTATTTGGCTATGTCATCAAATATTCCTCCAACACATGCCTTTATTTATTTATTTATTTTTCATTTTTATTTATTTATTTTTGACATGGAGTCTCACTCTGTTGCCCAGGCTGGAGCGCAGTGGCATGAGCTCAGCTCACGGCAACCTCTGCCTTCCAGGTTCAAGTGATTTTCCTGCCTTAGCTTCCCAAGTACCTGGGATTACAGGTGTCTACCACCACACCCAGCTAGTTTTTGTATTTTCAGTAGAGACAAGGTTTCACCATGTTGGCCAGGCTGGTCTCAAACTTCTGACCTCAGGTGATCTGCCCACCTCGGCCTCCCAAACTGCTGGGATTACAGGTGTGAGCCACCACACCCAGCCCCAACACATGGCTTTTAACAGGCTATAATATTTCAATACATCCTGTAAATATCATGTAATGTAGTATATTGAGCTGAGTTCTGCTACTGAACATTTAGGTTGTTTCTGATTTTCTGGTTATAGCTATCACCATCAACCACCATGAGAGGCATCATGAACATTTCTTTCTTACGTTTTTTTGAGATGGAGTTTCACTCTTGTTGCCCAGGCTGGAGTGCAATGGCACAATCTTGGCTGACTGCAACCTCCACCTCCCAGGTTCAAGCGATTCTCCTGCCTCAGTAGCTGGAATTACAGGGGTGTACCACCAAGCCCAGCTAATTTTTTTATTTAGTACACATGGGGTTTCATCACGTTGGTCAAGCTGGTCTCAAATTCCTGACCTCAGGTGATCCACCCGCCTCAGCCTCCCAAAGTGCTGGGATACACGGATGAGCCACTGCACTCAGCCAATACTGTATGTTTCTAAATGATTCTAGATCTAAGTTTATATTTCCCTTTGAGTTTCTTTTTTTTTTTTTTGAGATGGAGTCTTGCTCTGTCATCCAGGCTAGACACTGCAGTGGTGCAATTTCAGCTCACTGCAGCCTCTCTCTCCTGGATTCAAGCAATTCTCCTGTCTCAGCCTCTGGAGTAGCTGGGATTACAGGCATGCCACCATGCCTGGCTAATTTTTGTATTTTTAGCAGAGATGGGGTTTCGCCAGGTTGGCCAGGCTGGTCTCGAACTCCTGACCTCAGGTGATCTGCCTACCTTGGCCTCCCAACATGCTGGGATTATAGGCATGAGCAAGGAGGCTTGAGACACTGCCCTGGACTTCTGTTTTTTTTGTGTGTGTGTGTGATATGTCTCTCACCAGGCTGGAGTGCAATGGCATAATCTTGGCTCACTGCAACCTTCGCCTCCCAGGTTCAAGCGATTCTCCAGCCTCAGCCTCTCTACTAGCTGGGATTACAGGTGCCCAACAGGACACCCAGCTATTTTTTTTTTTTTTTTTTTTAGTAGAGATCGGTTTTTGCCATGTTGGCCAGACTGGCCTCAAGTGATCCACCAACCACTGCCTCCCAAAATTCTGGGATTACAGGCGAGGGCCACCGCTGCACCTGGCAGGCATGGAAGAGGTTCCCTTGGGTCCTGCTCAGAGGAGTCACGCTGGGGAAAGCAAGTGGAGGTGCTCCTTGAAGAAAATAGGGAATCTCACATCTCAGCAGTTCTGTCCTGGCCTGCCGCCCTGGATCGTCCAGCCTGGGTCGGGGTGGAAGACCTCGCCCTTCTTGACTGGGGTTGAGTGTGAGGGTCCCATTTCGCCAAAGGTCTAGCCCTGGATTCCCAGTCCCTGGCACTACCCAGCAGCTCCCGGCTCCCCCTCCCCTCCAGACCTGGCACTCGCCCTCAACCAACATGGCGCCGATGGCCTCAGTACGTCAAGCGACGTGCCCGCCGGCCTCCTCCCGCGCTTCCTGCGGAAGCCGAGCAGCAGAGCGGAAAGCCTGGCTTCCGGGCCGGCGGTGGCCTAGGCAGCGCCAGGGTGGTTGATGTGTGGCTGCGCCGTGGCGAGGCAGGCCGGGATGCTGTACCCCCGGGAGAGCCCGTCACGGAAGCGCAAGGAGCTGGACGACCTCTGGAGCTTCCGCGCCGACTTCTCCGACGACCGGCGCCGGGGCTTCCAGGAGCGGTGGTAGCGGCCGCTGCTGCGGTACTTCGGGAAGGGCCGGGAGGCACACAGAAGCCGGGCGGAGGGAGTAGGGGAGCCCGGGCCGCCTCGCAGGCTCCTTCCCCTGGTCGCCCGGGGGTTGGGGGCCCAGAGGAGGTTAAAGGTCAGTGGGCTTGGGAGCGCTGGGTTGGGGGAGTGGGGCAGGGAGGGGGCCCAGGAGGACCGCTGCGGAGGAGGTGGGAGGAGGAGGAAGCGCCCCTGCCGAGCCCCCTCCCCAGGCGAAGGCTGAGCCCGGGCAGTGTCCTTTTTTTTAATGTTTGTTTTTAATTTTTAAAATATTTTTTGAGACTGGGCTTGGCCCTGTTGCCCAGGCTGGAGCGCAGTGGCGCAATCCTAACTTCTGAGCTCAAGCGATCCTCCTGCCGCAGCCTTGCAAGTTAGCTGGGGGCTCCACGCCTGGCTAATTAAAAAAATTTTTCTTTTAGATATAGGGTCTCACTACTTTGCCCAGGCTGGTTTCGAACTCCTGGCCTCAAGCCATCGTTTTATGTTGACCTTCCAAAGCACTGATTACCGGCATGAGCCACCCAAACACTCCTCCCAGTAGTCGGGCCAGAGCGTCTTGGGCTGCACAGAGCTGGAGGTGAGGATGGGGAGGTGGAGACAGTTTAAACATCCTGAGGTCAGCTCTGCAAAGAAGGCAGGAATGTACCTTGGTCCCAGATCTGTTTGGGGGCCTAGGAGCTGAGCACCGCCCTTCTCTCCACAGTCTGGCCCCACCCTGGACATGGAGGTTCTCTCCAGCTTCAAGAACATCTGCCAGGACTGGCGGCTATGGCATTTTGTCAGCTGGGTGTGGCACAAATGGGAAGTGACCTTGCCAGAGTGGTGGACCCAGGACCTGCAGAGAAGAGTGGTGCTGAGGATTGGCAGTGCCCACTCCTATGCCATTCTGGTGAGTGCAGCCAGGAGCACGTAGGGCAGGTGGGTGGGTGTGGCTGCTGTACCGCATGGGAGTCCCAGGTGCCACCCACAGCCTGTCTCCTGGGATGGAACGGTGAGGGGCCCTTCCTTGCTCTGCCCTGGAGGCTGTTCCCTGTGTAGGGGGATAGGTGACCTCCTCTACCCCATTGGGATGCCATTCTTCCCATCTGGCTGGCAGGCCTCAGCTCTATGCTGCAAGTTATGAGGGAGTGCCCGATAACAGGGCCCCTCCTCATGCACTGAGCTGCTGCCCCCTCCCCATATCTCCAGTGTCTGCAGTGGGTGAATGGGGTCGATGCGCTAGAGCATGGGGGGTTTACCTCTCCTTCAAGGCCAACATCAGCAGCCTGGTCCAGGTGGGGCCCCTGCCCTCCTGCCTCCCCGTCACTGTTGCCATCAATGACACACTCCCTCCATCCAACCACCGGGGATCATCTGCTACATGACTGACACCTGCAAGTGGCTACCATCCTGCCTCCACCACACGCCCCCACCCCATAGTCTTCCTGCTAGGGACAGATTTGCCTTCACAGAGTGGAGGGGCCTGGATCTGGGGAGGCCACAGACATGTGGGCTGAGGTTAAACAACCCACAGCAGGGGTCCAGCAAACCACAGTTCTCCCACCCTGGATATCCCAAGGGTTACTTTGTCCACAACACAGACTTTGACTTCAGCTCGGCGGGACTGCAGCGGTCTGTGCTTCTGTTCACGACACTCACCACCTGCATTGATGACATCACCATCACCGTCACCACCAGCGTGGAGCAAGACAGTGGTGAGAGCTTCCAGTAGGATCCTTTCTCAGCGGGGCCCAGGGTGGCTCTGTTTGTTCCCTGTTTGGAAAGCTCTCCCAGGAAAAAGGTTCTCCCAGCATCTCTAAACCCTCCCAGGTTCCCATCCACCTACAAAGCTCAAATCCAGACTGTCTGAGCGGGCACCGGCTCCCAAAATCACCTGTGTGGTTGACCTCATTTGGAGAAGAGGGGTCTTCTTGCCTATGGTCACACAGCTCAGGGTGGCAATCCTGTCCCTTTCCCATGGAGCTACCCTCACTCCAGCTCCCCTTGGTACACATTGTGCTCAAGGAACAGGCAGCTTACCAGGTACTCCCTGTGGCCCGAGGCCCCTCCCTGTGGCCCCAGGCTCCCACCAAATCCCTGAGCAAATAGTGCAGTGTTGCCAGTCTGTGGTTTCATGTTGAACTAATTAAATACTCAAGTGCTGCTTAACTGCATGCCTTGATGAGTGCCTCTCTCCATCCTTTAACGACCCCGATGCCCACATGGCTCATGAGTGAAGGTGTCCCCACCCGAGATGCCCCGTCCCAGGGTGTGCTTTCAGGAGTCAGCTCCTAGACAGGGACAGTCAGCCATTAGGGATAGGGTGGGACCAGGGCAGGGGCTCTCCTGACTCCTGATATCTGTTCACTTGCCCCCCAGCGTTGCTGCCACCTGCTATAGGTGACTGAGAAGTGAGCCTGGGGCACCTTCAGACTCAACCCCAATGATGAGGACATCCACACAGCCAGCGAGCGCCACCTGAAGGTAAGACCCCTGCAGCCCCACCGCTTTCCTGGCCTCCCGTCTCCACCTGGCCCTGGGCCACTTGGAGCATTAGCACCATTTTTCCATTTACTTCACCATTGGCAGACAGCAGTGGAGACCTCAGGACATGGCCAGTTGCAGTGGCTCATGCCTATAATCCTAGCACTTTGGGAGGCTGAGGTGGAAGGATCACTTGAGGCCAAGACTTTGAGACGAGCGTGGGCAACGTAACAAGGTTTCATAACTACAGAAAATTGAAAGGAAAAAAAATAAAGAACAGCAGGGCTAAGCAGAATTGGTGAGAGATTTGGGCAAGACCTGGGGCCCTTGGGTAGAGAGGGAGGTTGGCAGGGCTGATAAAAGCTGCCTTGCCTGGATTGACTCCTCTGGGCATCTAGACTGTGACCCTGGGCCTCCCTTCACTTCCAAGAGCTCATTGGCAAAACTGCTGGGAAGCTGCTCACGGGATGCAGCCGGAATAACCAGGTGCCTCTAGCCCCTCCACCCCCCTGCTTTTTGCTGTCCCAACCTTGGGGAGCCCAGGGGGCAGTTAGAGCTCAGCAGGGTCCTGGCTCCCCAGGGAAGCAGCTCATCAGCCTCCCTGAGCATCACCTCCTGCTTGCACAGGTGGTCATGGAGCTTAGACTATGGATTCGGCAGACCTGCTCGATGCTCTCCGGCCTCCTGTGGGAGCCCATCAGGACCATGGTGGATCCCACAGAGGTGTGAGTTCCCAAGGGACACCCAGGGGTTAGAGAGAGGTGTGATGGCATCCTGAACAGCAGACTAGGTGGCAGGGACAAACAGGGTGGAGATGCCAGGCCCTGGGGGACGGGTATTACAGAACGCCGAGATTGAGGCAGAACAGCCAGGAGTGGGGCATTTCCTGCAGTCCCCAATACTCCCATGGCAGTCTAGCTTATCAGGCAGGGAAGAGTCACCCTTCGTGGGGCCTGGTGTGGTGGCTCCTGACTGTAATTCCAGCACTTTGGGAGGCAGAGGCCGGTGGATCACCTGAGGTCAGGAGTTCACGACCAGCCTGGCTAACATGGTGAAACCCTGTCTCTAATAAAAATACAAAAATTAGCCAGACGTGGTGGTGTGCACCTGTAATCAGAGCTACTTGGGAGGCTGAGGCAGGAGAATCCCTTGAACCCAAAAGGCAGAGATGGCGGTGAGCTTCGATCGCATCACTGCACTTCAGCCTAGGAGACAGAGTGAGACTCCACCTCAAAAACTAAAAAATAAAAGGGAAGAGAACTCACCCTTTGCAGATTTGAGGGAAGGAAACTAAGGCACTAGCTTGGCTGTGCCTGGAGCAGCAAGAGTCTCTCCCCACTCTGCCTGTGTCCCACGTCTCCCGCATTATGTGTCCCCACCCAGCCCATCTGGTGAAAGGCAGAGGCAAAGGCTGCCTCCTGCTGGCCTCATCCCAGGCTTTGGCTTCTGGGACCTGGTGTCTTTGGGTCTGGATTTGTTCCTTGCAGACCTGGAGGAGGAGCTGCTGGGGAGTCTCCACGTGTTGTCAGAGACCCCTCCTCTTGGTCAACTCCCTGTGACCCCTGTTTCTCAGACTTGGAGGGAAATAAGGGCACACAAATTGTGACCATGGAGGTGGCGCAAGGCTGCTAGGAGGAACAGGGAGTGTCTGCTACAGAGTTCAGGGTTTCTTTAATTTACTTTTTTTTTTTTTTTTGAGACAGGGACTTGCTCTGTCACCTAGTCTGGAGTGCAGTGGTGCAATCTCTCCTACCTACAAACTTTGCCTCCCTGGTTCAAGTGATTCTCCTACCTCAGCCTCCCAAGTAGCTGGGATTACAGGTATGTGCACCACATGCAGCTAATTTTTGTATTTTTTTTCAGTAGAGATGGATTTTACCATGTTGACCATGTTGGCCAGGCTGATCTCTTGAACTCCTGAGCTCAGGTGATCTGCCCACCTCAGCCTGCCAGAGTGCTGGGATTATAGGCATAAGCCACTGCGCCCAGCCTAATTTTAAAATTCTTAACTTTTTTTTTTTTTTTTAGACAGAGTTTTGCTCTCGTCACCCAGGCTGAAGTGCAGTGGCACTCGGCTCAGTGCAACCTCTGCCTCCCAGATTCAAGCAATTCTCCTGCCTCAGTCTCCACAGTAGCTGGAACTACCGCCTCCCAGATTCAAGCAATTCTCCTGCCTCAGTCTCCGCAGTAGCTGGAACTACAGGTATGTGCCACACCCAGCTAATTTTTGTATTTTTTAGTAGAGACAAAGTATTACCATGTTGGCCAGGATGTTCTCAATCTCCTGATCTTGTGGTCCACCCATGTTGGCCTCCCAAAGTGCTGGCATTACAGGTGTGAGCAACCACACCCGGCCAAATTTTTTCTGTTTAATTGTCTTTAGAGACAAGCCCTTGCTCTGTCACCTAGGCTGGAGTGCAGTGGCTCAGTGATAGCTCACTGCAGCCTCAAACTCCTGGACTCAAATGATCTTCCCACCTCAGCTTTCTGAGTAGGTAAGACCGCAGGTGTGCACCACACCCTGCAAAGATTTTACATTTTTTTGTAGTAACGGGTTTTCACTATGTGGCCCGGTCTGGTTGAACTCCCAGCCTCAAGTGATCCTACCATCTTGGCCTCCCAAAGTGCTGGAATTACAGGCTTGAGCCACCGTACCTGGCCTTGAGTACAGAATTTCCTTAGGGGGTGACGAAAATGCTCTAAAATCGGTGATGGGTGTGCACTAAAGTGTGAGTGATATCTCAGCAAAGTTGGTTTATTTAAAACAGCAACAGGCTGGACGAAGTGGCTCATGCCTGTAATCCCAGCACTTTAGGAGGCCAAGGTGGGTGGATCATCTGAGGTCAAGAGTTTGAGACCAGCCTGGCCAACATGGTGAAACCCTGTTTCTATTAAAAGTACAAAAAATTAGTAACTTGAATGAGGGGCAGGGTATCCCACCTGCTCCGAGCAGCTCTTTATGAGCCCCAGCTATTTCTGGGGTCCTCAAATGAAACCTCCCAAGTCATACCCAAGTCATACCCAACATGGGCCTCCTCCCCTTTTCTAGCCCCCTGCTGGGAGATGCTGCGTGACAGAGGCTCAGGCTTTGGGTATTCCTGGCAAAGCCTCACCCCAGGAGCCCCACAGCTCAGGCCCAGTCCATGGTTCACATGGCCCCATTTCATCCTCTTTTTCCCTTGAGAGCAATTAGTCCCTGGGAGATCCTGGATCCCTCGTTCAGGTGCAGTGCTGTAGGGCAACACTTCTTCCTGGGGTGACCCAGGCCTGCAGGGTCCCAGTGTCACTGGCAGGCCTTGACCTGGCCTCCACCTGAGTCCCTGCTCCTCCTCTCCCACAGGGAACATGACATCCTCTTCCCAGGGTACACCCACCTGCAGAGGGCCCAGCCCCTTCACTGGAGCCACTGGATCCTGAGGTGAGCTGGGTGAGGTGCTGGGGCTGTACTGGATGGGAGGACCCTGGCTGCCCTGACTCTCCTGCCCTTGGCTTCTCACAACGGTGCCATGGTGCTGACCCTAGACTCTGAGCGGCTGCTGGAGGTGCAAAAGCTGATTGGTGTCCTGCCCCTGGGGAGGTGGGTGAGGCTCCAGTGCCCTAAGGGCCTGGTGGGGGTGGCTGCTGCATAGCCTAGGGATTCACACATGAGCTGGGAAGGGCAGAGAGGGCTAGAAAATCAGGTTGTCTGCTCAGAGGGGTCCCTGCATGGAGCCCCAGCTATTGCTAAGGTGGGGATGTCCAAGCCAGTGAATGTGTCTGAGCAGGGCTGGAGCTCTTCAGTGAGGCTCTAGTGAGTCCAGCCCACTGCCCTCAGCCTGACATATGGGGACATGTGTCAGGAGACAAGGGTTCTGCACCCATGGTTTCTCGGTGCCTGGGGATAAGCATTCAGGAGACATTAGGGGACAAGGGAAAAGGTTGAGCTCCAGACAGTTGCCCTGGCAACTAGGACTTCATTCTGTTTGTGTGTGTGTGTGTCTTTCTGTCTGTCTGTCAGGGCTGCCTGCCAGGAGCCCTGGTCACCATGAATCCCTGTCCCTGCAGCGGGGCCATTTTGGGCAATCCCGTGGGTGTAGACAGAGAGCTGCTCTGAGCAGGTGAGATACCCTGCTCCTCCTCCCTAGGGAGAGTCACCCTCAGCACTGGCCAGGAGATGCAGACACACCAGAGGGCAGGAGCCGGTGGCCCCTGGTGAAACCATCATTCATTGCCTATGGGCACTGAGCTTATCTAGGCCAAGGGTCACCCATGGCACGGGTGCCTGGTACTGAGAGACTCAGGGCTCCTACCTCCCTCCTGAGACTGTGGAAAAGATGCCTCCCCCCAGCTCCCACCCCACCCACCCTAATCCTCTTTCCTGATCCTCTTTCCAGGGGGAGGGGGCCAGGCAACCAGCTTAGGGGAGAGGAGGCCACACTCCCTGTTCTCCAGCCCAGCCCTGCTTCCTCCCAACCCCCAGAACTCAACTTTGGTGCCATCACTCTTAACAGCATGGATGCCACCAGTGAGCGTGACTTCATGGGTGAGTGTTGGGGAGCCAGTCCCCTGCCCTGTGCCTCACTTCTGTCCCTCAGCCCAGCTTCTCTCCAGTCTTCTCCTACTCCTGTATGTTCAGACTGTTTGTGGTGGTGATTGTACACTAAAGTGTAAACTTTAAATGAGTAAATTGGGCAGGGCACAGTGGCTCATGCCTGTATTCCCAGCACTGGCCAACATGGTGAAACCCCATTTCTACTAAGAATACAAAATTTAGCCAGGTGTGATGGTGGGCACCTGTAGCTACTTGGGAAGCTGAGGCAGGAGAATCGCTTGAACCCAGGAGGCCAAGGCTGCAGTGAGCTGAGATCACACCAGTACACTCCAGCCTGGGCAACAAGAGTGAAACTTTATCTCAAAAAATAAAATAAAATGAAAATAAATAAATGGGTAGATTTATGTGAACAACACATCGGTAAAGCTGGTTTATCTTATTTTTTTGTTTTGTTTTGCTCTGTTGCCAGAGGCGGTGGGGGGGGAGCTGGCTAAATTTTCATTTTTTTTCCAGACAGAGTCTGTTCTGTTGCCAGACTTGAGTGCAGTGGCACGATCTCGACTCACTGCAACCTTCACCTCCTGGGTTCAAGTGATTCTCCTGGCTCAGCCTCCCAAGTAGCTGGGATTACAGTTGCATGCCACCACACCCGGGTAATATTTTTGTATTTTTAGTAAAGACGGGGTTTCACCGTGTTGGCCAAGATGTTCTGGATCTCCTGACCTCATGATCTGCCCACCTTGGCCTCCCAAAGTGCTGGGATTACAGGAGTGAGCCACCACACCCAGCCAAAGCTGGTTTATTTAGAACAACAACAATAACAAAAAACAGGCTAGGTGCAGTGGCTCACATTTGTAATTCCAGCACTTTGGGAGGCCAAGGCAGGAAGATTACTTGAGCCCAGGTGTTTTAGACCAGCATGGGCAACATAGCAAGACTTCATCTTTACTCAAAATGAAAATTTAGGTCAGGCACAGTGGCTCACACCTCTAATCAAGAACTTTGGGAGACCAAGCCAGGTGGATCACGAGGTCAAGAGATCGAGACTACCCTGGCCAACATGGTGAAATCCCGTCTCTAATAAAAATAG